TATGTTAACTTTGTTAATTAGTTTGTTGCGTCAACTACAACGCATCGTTGTGCCTCTTGTGCCCGGCGTTGTTTCTTTTACACGTGCCCGCTATGTGTAAAGACGGCGGGCGGACAAGTGTTGTAGTAGTAGCCGGTAGAAAAGAAAGAAACGTACGAATGCGCGAGAATGGCAAGTACGTGGAAAAAGTCGCGTAAAGTTAATCCAACGACTTTTCATCTTTTCTATCTTTCATTCATTCCAGCGAGAGAACGTTTCCCTTCGTCGAGTAGTACCGACGACGATCAAAGCGGTTCTGACACGGAACACGATTCGAACTCCTCATTGCGCGCCAAAGTCCATTCTGGGATAGTCCATCATACTGGTACGCATTCCGTGAGGAAACGCCGTGGAAACTTACCAAAGCATTCGGTGAAAATTTTAAAACGATGGCTTTACGAGCACAGATACAATGCGTATCCAAGCGACAGCGAGAAATTGACGTTGAGTCAAGAAGCGAATTTGACGGTACTCCAGGTTGGTATCTTATTTCGCCTCCATTTTATTATTTTCATTCGTTCCTTTCTTCTCTCTCTCTCTCTCTCTCTCTCTCTCTCTCTCTCTCTTTCACACTATCTCTGTCACCGTGTATCTATGTATGTACGTATGTTACATCCTCTACCCGGTGGTTGTAGGTTTGCAATTGGTTCATAAACGCTAGACGACGAATTTTACCAGAAATGATTCGAAGGGAAGGTCACGATCCTCTGCAGTATACGATATCTCGCCGCGGTAAAAAGATGCCTGCTGGAAGTCACCAACAATCGTCCGCTGTTGGTTCAAGATCCAATCAAAACTGGGATTCGTTGGCTGGCATGAGTGCTCCGAAACGTAGCAGAGACCACGATTACGAAGATCCTGCTGGTTTAATGTATCGGTTCGTTACAATTAACGTTTTCCTATTATTATTATTGTTGTTGTCGTTGTTGTACACCGATCGACAAAATTTCCTTCTTCTTCTTGCAAGTAAAATGTCTCGCGCTTTCTATTTTTTTCCTTCTTTCTTCAGAAGCGAAGAGGACAGTCCAAATGATTATGAGAGCAGCTCTCATAGCGAGGAGGAACGTCCATCGACGCAATGGCCGAGCGTAATAGTGTACCCTTATTCAGAAACTAAAGTTGAACAAAACGTTGGTCAACTTGGCGTTGGTGCTTACGACGAAGCCATTACCCATCCAGCGCGTCGAGGGTAGGCATATTACGTTTCTGTCATAATTTCTTTTTCTTTTTTTAGCCTTCTTTGTTACTCGGATGAACACTGTTCGTCGGAACGCACGCACATTATCTTTATCTTCTTGGTAAAAACCTAACCTACCGTTTGATTTTCCTTAATTATTTTTTACCCCCTTTTTATCCTGTTTTCAGAGATGACGACGAATCTTCCATGGGAAACGAAGCCGCCTATTGGAGCGCACCTAGACAGCATCTCGTTCAAACGTCTGACGTGCAGCATGAAACAGAAGTATACAGCACGCGCAACGCTCACAGTCCTCACACGGATGAGACGCCACCTCCGACACCTCCCGAAGAGGATAAAGACAAGTTTAAGTGTCTCTACTTGCTAGTTGAAGCAGCCGTTGCTGTGCGACAACAGGAGAAAGAACGCGAACGAGCTGTGCCAGTTTAACAAGAGCGTGCACCCACTCTTTCTCGTAGCTTATATCGGTGTTTTTTTTTTTTTTT